TGATCATTAATTCAAACTATTCAAAATTATAATATCCTTTACAAAATAGCAGCCAATACTATAATCAACCTACTACTCAAAATCAATGAACAACTGTATAAGAAAGTATAGAATCCCTACTGCACAAATTTCACTAACTGGAAGAAACGAAAGCACTTAAACTACCCATATGATAACAACCCCAATTCTACTCACCAATCCGATAATTCAAGTTTACCTGATGATTCTAACTCTAATCAGCAAGCTAAAAGTATCAATCATATATGCAAAATATATACATACTCTTGTTTATGTAAAGAACCAGACCAATTATACTCACATACTGGAATCTGCCTACTGGTAGGTCAGGCCAGAAAGAAAATCAATACCTGGTCTTATCTTTGGGCCAAGTACAGTACCATATCTTAACTATAGTAACCTAAGTGAGTCTTTGACCACTCTAGTAGGTTTAGGTCGCAGATAAATTTTTCCTTGTCTAAGCTTTTATTCTTGTATATAATTTTTATTTTTATTTGTACTGATACAAATAGTAGTAGCTTTGTAAATTTCTATATCTAGTAGTTATTTTAGTAACTACATTATAGCAATCTACATTGTAACTATTTCAAAATTACTAATAAAAATATGAGCAAAGCCTCACCTTAAAACCAAAAAAAAAAAAAAAATACATATTTTAAATATATATTTGTAATAAATAACTTAATATATATACCTTCTAATCTTTGTAATTCTTTTATCATAGGAAAAAGAAATGAATTAAGATCTTTAGGTTCTTTAAGTCCAGGTATAATTAAATGAATTAGAAGATTATTTTTTTAACTTGATTTTTAGGTACCAGATTTGTATTAATTACTAGTATTACCTAATAGTCATTAGTCTTTTGTCTAAATATTTGATAACTATCAATTAAAGCTAACAATACTATATTACACTTATCTTAAAAATATCTATTCTGTACTAATTCTTTATACTAAATACTATCGAAAACATCTTCTATTTGATTATTATTTTTATATGATTTTTGTAATATATAATTAGCTTTATATTATAGTTCTGTAGCACAATTATAATTTTCATATTAAATAATAAAGTATTGTACAAGTGAAAAATATACAAATTGTTGATATAGCTTCCTGGCTTTATTATAATAATATCAATCTAATTTACAAATTAGGTATTTGGTTAATTTCTTATAATTTTCAATATATGCATAACAAGAATTAAAACACATATTAGTCCATATAGGTCTAATATTTACAAATAATTTCAATTTTTTTTAACTATATACAAACTAATTGGTTCTATATTAGCTGCAATCATAGTTTGTTAAATGCTTTATTAGTTAAATTGTATTGAACCTTCACTTTAAATAATCTTAATACAATAGCTAATTTTTCAAAAATACTATTTGCTATATTTAAATCTAATATAGTAATACCAAAGTATTTAAATAAATAAATTAATAAATAAATAAAATAAATAAATAAATAAATAAAATTATACTATCCTGAAAATTATAAGAGTAATTATATTCAGAATCAAAATTACTTAAAGACTTATTACTGTTAGAAAAATTTATTAAATTGCTACTATTTTTTTGTAAACTTTCATATTCTTTTATATTAATATCAGAATTAAAATCTGATATTTTTATATTAAAATCATTATTGCTATTGCTATTAATATTATTATCACTAATATTATTGTTATTATTAATATCTAATAATAATAAGAATAAATTCTAATCATTAACAGATTTTGGTTTACTATAATTAAATTTATCAAATTATTATTATTTAATATGCTTATATAATAAACTCTGCAAATCAAATCTTAAAAAAAAAAAACCTTAACTTATGATCATTATTGTCACTGTCTAATAGCTTTGAACTAAATTTTGAATTTGATGACTCTGTATATATTGCTATAGAATTTTGAGCTTTTATATGTCTAGTTCAGGTATTCTTGCTAACTTAAGCACTACTATAATCTTTTTCAGTATATAAATAACACCTGTAATACACTTTATTTTTATAATTTGTAATGACATATTCTATATCTAATTCTATAACAAAGGCTTTACTTACTTTCTTCACTAATAAGATTTAATTCATTATTTATTATAAATTTTAATAAGTAAATTTTTCTTACACATTTTATATTTATATACAAATTTTTAAGTCTGATTGTACCAAAATATATAAATATATAAAATAAATTTTAAGATGAAAATTACTTACTCTTTCTTCTTCTAAATTTAATATTCTTTATTTTTTATATTTATTACTATGCCAAAAGGCAAGCAAACAAATAAAAAACCTAATCCCAAAGATAATAATAAATTAATTGTTGAAAAAACTACTAACTATGATCTTGTTAATTTAAAAAGTCAAATAGAAGCTCTTAAAGCTGAAAACGAAAAACT